GCACAGAAACAGTACTATATAACATTTTAGACACATTCTAGACAGTTTATCAGCTAAAAAAAGTTAATTTTGGGGTAAGTTACTCTTTAAACCCTTAGCTTTATGCATTTAGACAACAATCATTTTCAGCAATGGTGAATAAAGGAGCGAGGCAGACACATTCAAGAGCTTATATCAGCCCTGATTTTAGAACAGATTAACTGCGATGCAAAGTGGCAGTCAATTTCACCCGAGAATGCATAACATTAAACCTCAGCTCTGGCTTTTCACCCCCACAAATTCAGAGTTAGACTGAAGTAAAAACAAGGAGGAAACAAAGGGAGAAGAAATAAAAAAAAGAGGAGAGTTTGAGGCGAGCGGTAGGAAACAAGTATTCAGGGAAAAAAAGGCGAAGAGGAAATGAAGTCATCATTTATGTTAAACTCTGCTTCATTTATCTGAATCAGCTTGATGTCAGAAACAWAACATATAGTAATGTTTCTTATCTCCACACTCCAGTAGCACAGACCATGAGCCAGTGTTAAACAATGGAGCGGTTCCCCCTATATTTACATCAAACAGTGAAAATATTATACCCCTAAAACCCGAACTGCTAGAATAATCTCTGTGGTACAAAGCAGAATGTTAATGAAACAATCATGAATAACTTTCTGGACTTTTTTTCTACATCCATGGAGCTGACAGAGCAAGACCCTCCTTGCTGGGAGGGAGCCTGCTTAGTTGMTTTTTTTTTACACTCATTCAGCTATAGATCAACGTTTTGGGACAATTTGGTGTGCAGAGTAGGCAATAAAGAATCAATAAAGCCAAAAGCCAGGAAATATCTACAATAATGTGACAATTTCAGTGATGGAGTGTCTCTAAAAATGTTTTTACCTTTTCATATTTTCCCTTTTCCATTCAAAAACCTTCCAAAGCAGAAGCTTGGAGAGAAGTCAGAGGATTCTGTTCCATCTCCGGTCGTAAAACAAAAACCCTTGTTTTATAKTTTCGCTTGTTCATACAGCAGCAGCTTTGGTGCTAACGCCACTGTAGGCCTTAATTTAAAAAAACCAAACAGACAGCTTGATTAAATAGTGAAACAGGGACCAACAGCATTTACAGTTTCACTCACCAGGCACAGATTTGTGTTTTTTGTTGATATTGCTAGAAGCTCTTTGACTCATAGTGGTCCAGACTAGATGCCCCTGGTGGCCAGTCTTAGCCCAGTAAGAGCTCTGGATCAGGGTGTGTATCTCTGGGCTTTTTGTAGATAAAATGGAAAGAGCAAACATACACTCTTCAGTGAGTTTTGAGTTTTAAAGCTGCCAGCCACAGTAGTTTACAATCGGCATGAAGTACATAGTGCGTAGGGCGCTGGGCATGGACGTACCATCTTCTTGTTGTTCCAGGCAAAATGTTTCTAAAGCATTTCTCATTTTTCTTGAATTGTTGTGGCAGGCAACAAAAACACAAGCTGAACCCGATATCATGATTGAACTGCTCAGTGACTCTGAATGAACGAACCTCTGGTTCTCGCTTTTGCATACCGGAAACATGAAACCAGGTGGGACGGAAGTAGCGGTCTGGCCTGTGGATAAAAGACTTTATATTGCATTTTTAGAGTCATAAGTAAAACAGCATCTGGGTGTCTTGTTCATGAGTGATGGTGGGATGGAGCGGGAGATGGATCGACAGATTGGGGTCTCGTCCTCAGTAATGAGGGCGTTGCTTCGGTCAGTCGTGATGACGAAAGAGCTGAGTCAAAATGCAAAGCTCTCGATTTACTGGTCTGTCTTCGTTCCAACCCTCACCTGTGGTCATGAGGCATGGATCATGACCGAAAGAACGAGATCCCGGATACAAGCYGACAAAATGAGTTTCCTCCACAGGGTGTCCGGGCTCTCCCTTAGAAATAGGGTGAGCTCAGAGTACAGCCGCTGCTCCTCCACATAGAAAGGTGTCAGCTGAGGTGGTTKGGGCATCTGATTAGGATGCCTCCTGGACGCCTCCCTTTAGAGGTGTTCTGGGCACGTCTCACTGGTAGGAGGCCCTGGGAAAGACCCAGGACTTGCTGGAGGGACTATGTATCCTCTCTGGCCTGGGAATGTCCAGGACGAGCTGGAAAGTGTCGCTGGAGAGAGAGATGTCTGGGTTTCTCTCCTGGAGCTGTTGCCTCTGCGACCCGACTACGGATAATTGGAAGAAGATGGAGCAGTAATACAGTATTTTATTTATATTACACATTTTCTGAGATTGCTTTGCCTGTATCAAATCACAGCTTGTCCAAATCATTGTTTGAAGCCAACATAAAAGTCCTGTCGATAAAACAAATATGTCCGTCTCAGTCTTATTTAACTAAATTTCTGACATGTTCTATGATCACACATTTGCAGTTTATAAACTTGCCATGAATCAGGAATGCTTTGCCCAGATTTCTGTTTACATCTTTTCCCAGAGTTTGGCATCTTCACCTGGTGACTGTCCAACGCTATGCTTGGATTCTCCATGTTTCATGTTTAGCTAAATTTCTGCTAAGACATCCCAGCTAAGATATTGACGTAGAAAAGGTGTCGACCCAGCTGCTTGCCGACACTTTGTGTAAATGTATAACCAACTGTTCAAACCAGCGTTAAGCCGTGTTAGAATGAAGGTAAACGCTCCAAACATGTCCAAGAATTTATTTCACAGTGGGGTTTTTCTTTTTGTTTACTCGTGATCAGGCCTTCAACTGTAACTTCAGCCTCGTCTGACTTCACGTCGAGCTCCTCCTGTGTCATCTAACACTGAGCGTTCTGCTCACTGCCATCTTGGCGCTGTGCATCAAATCCATATGGAGCAAACGCTTTACAGTGAAAACACTCCAACCCCCGAGATGTCGTGAAATGCTCCAAAGATGGACACACTCCGCTGCACACGCAGACCCCCGATACGCCTATTAATGTAAGTACAGCTGCAGACAACAGCTTTGTTCTCCCCTATCACCTTTTTCTTTTCTATTCTTTTCTTTTTTCTTTCATTTCTGCACTTATTTTACAYCCAGCTGAAAATGTCTGAGTGCCTTCGGAGTGCCATGCTTCAATTGTTTCACTTCTCTTTAGTGGGGAAACACAGCAGGGACATGTCTTCCCTGGTGCTTTTAAAACCACTTACTAACTTCTGCACTCTGTGCACACAAATGTTGAACTTGGATACGCATTAGCTTTGACCCTGCATTGACATGTTTCCTTAGTTCTCCTTATGAATGAATTTCCCTCAGCCTTGTCATGCAGATGTCTATTCAAACTTTTTTTTTTGCGTTTTTTTAAACGTGTGGTCCTCCTGTGCAGCACTTGTGTGTTTCCCTGCATTCTTTTTCTTTGTTTCATCACAGACTGAGTTCACTCGTCTACATTCTTTCATATTTTAATGGGGTTCYGTTTATTTAAATCGAATTCTAGTTGACTGTGTGTTCTATATGACCTATTGTCCAATTTCTTTGCAAACTATGGATGCACAGAAAAAGAGCTATTTTTTTTCMTCCCGAGAGGACAACCATTGCTGTCCTGTTTTGGCCCACTTCTTCCCGATGTGTCTCTTGGTGGGTTCTCACCCGGACACGATTCTGTGTTAAGCAGCCATTGTTCTCCCAACATAAAATCCTTCTTTGCCACTCCTTAAGGCTCCATCCTCTGMAAAACAGGCAGAGCTCCCCGAACAATAGCTCCTGAATAACTGTGCTGCTAGATGTGCATGCATACCCACTGTAATTGGGGGAAAAAAAGCGCTCCCAATAACAGACTGAATGCTTGACCGTGTGCCACAAGGCCCAGAGCTTTGGAGCTTTTCTTTTTTTTTTCTTTATTATTATTTCTAAATACTTTGAAGGTGAGTACTTTAATAGTGTATGTCTGAGGTATACTTGTTTGTGCAGATTTTTTTGTGAGAAATATCCATTGGGGGAGTGGTCCGCTCACACAGAGCACATCTTATCTTACGGCCCTGCCTAATTTGCATTCACTCAAAAGYCTATGCTCCTATTCACTGATCCACTCAGTGGGCTCGCTGTGCATCCTAACTACCTGGAATGCACATGCAAATCTTTTTTTCTTCTTCTTCTTTTACATCTTATCAAAGACTTTCTTTTTTTTCTACTGTTCATGAATAAACACATTTGAGGACAGCTTGCTGAGGTGATTCTTTTTTTTTTTTTTTTGATAACGAGATTTTAATTTGTACAACAGTGGAGTCACGTCTTCTCTAAGACAAGTGGTCACTTTTTTAGGCTGTTTTATTCAAATTGGATGAGGAAGCCATGACGATAATCATATATGTTAAAGAAACAAACTTTTGTTGATTTTGAACAGCTTTTAAAAAAATTAACATGTAATTTTTGAAATGCATTCTAAAGTAGAAACTTTGCACTGTTTTGGTATATTTCATAAAGATAAAAAGGGGAGAGGGATGTGAGCTTCAAGAGGCAGAATGTGATTCAGTAGTGTTGATGTGGAGCTCGGGATGTATAAAATGTTTGTCAGGTGTTCCCCACTTTAACTGGGGTGGGTATTATGCAAAACTGACTTTTTTGAGCTTTATATCATGTTATAATTTCATTCCTTCATCAAAAACATACCCAGAGTGTTGCTTTGACTCATTCCTGCATYTTTTAGAAATCCTTGGTAGRCATGTGGAGCTTGCTGATTCAAAGCCCCACCTACTTGTACCAAGCTCCTCCCTGTAGCTCAGCCTGCAAACCGAGCTCCACAGACCACCCCTCCCCCGAAGCATTGTTGTGAAGATGTGCTGAAGTGGAAGTGTCAGAAATGGTATGAGGTTCTTAAAGAGACTATGATGCAAAGTCAAATTWATTTTTTGCTATATACAGCATTTTCATACCAAATGAAGGTAACATGCTTGATTGTGCCATCGAATTGAACACACAATTGGCCATTGGATAATGGGCCAGATGGACACGAAGGCCTCCACCTCTGTTTAATGATGGCCTCCTTRACTCCTCTCTCAAACCAAGGATGTGAATATCTTCATCAATGAGCTTATYTGGTGCCARAGRGCTTTACTTTACAGTCATTCACRCATTCACACACTGATGGTGGTAAGATGCATTGTAGCCACAGCTGCCCTGGGGCACACTGACAGAGGCGGGCTGCCATGTAACAGTGCCACCGGGCCACCATCAGTAGACAAGGTGAAGTGTCCAAAGACACGATGACTGAGATGACTGGGATTGGGGGATCGAGCCGGCTACCCACCGGTTATAGATGACTCTCCTAATGACTCTGCAACACTCGCCCAGGTGGCTTGGTGGCACAGAGTAGTAACAAGGAATTACGCTTCCTTTTCAAAATGTTCTTGTTTTGTAATTTGATGTGTGCTGATGTTATCTTCACCTGCTGGCCTGGCATGGTATTTTTTTCCTTCCTTTATGTTAGGTTTATTTAGCACAAGACAAACAAAACTTCCAGAAAACCATGAGTATGTTTCTGTCTTCACCACGTCAAGATAAGCAAATAAATAAAGGCAACACCCGTGTTTAAACATCCTTTCAGAGCGGAGCAGTGATCTCATGCTTACCCTGGATAATCCACGGCAGTACCTCCACATTTAGAAGAGAACACAGTCACAGCCTGTCTGCGCCTCACAGTGACTGACAGCCTCGGTGGGTTTCATCTTAATTGTAGACGCATCCATTTGATCCGGGTTTTGACCATCCAGGTGGGCGTGAGGCRGTGATACCATAACCTCTACCACCTATGTAGCAGCAAAGCAATAATGGGGCTTTGACACTAAGCCACACTCTGTTCTCCACAGAGAGAAGGGATTTTCTGTCTTCTTTTTTCTGTCTCTTCAGTGTGATGACAGCTGAATGGATCTGCTCCTCTGCTGCACTCTCTTAATGTCACTGCCATTTAAACACACCCGGTTGTCAAACTTTGGAAAATATCATTGTAAAACCAGTAGGGAAAGTTATGGACTCGTCAATGCTAGAAGGTTGAAGTTTTGAAGATAGCTTTGTGATTTTATTTTTTATTTTTATTTTTTTGTAATACGCAATGAAACAACTGCAAGAACATCCTCCAATAATTAACACTCCAAGAGTGGTGATTCCATTTTTTCTTTTATATATTTTTGGCTGGGGTTGCCATCGCTTCATTCTAAAAACAATCCTTAGCACAACATTGCAGGTGTCAAAGAGCTTGGAACTAAAGAGGCTGTTTGGACCCCAGAAATATTAACAGCCATGTGAGCCAGACCAAAGGAAACGTCTCATATTTCTTGTCAAACATGCTGGAGGCCATAAACTCATTATGCAGACTGTCTGGGTGTCAGCAGGTCAAACTGAGATGATAAAGTGTCACTGTACGTACATTTTTCTTGTGTCTGAACGAGGACTCTTTCAGAAATCCTTGTTTGCTAATGATTACTTGGATAGGATCAAGTCCTTTTGAACCGAACAATGAATATTCAACAAGGCATAAACATATAGTCACTTCAGATTATTACCACTTTGAATCATTGCATAATATTCTGAGATTAGTTTGTCACACTCGCCATCCTGGTGTGAATTTAACCTCAAATAAAGAAGGGAAAAGAAGCAGAGAGAATAAAATGACTGGAGCTCACACTGAGGTGGGAGACAGGTGTGAGTGGGCATGGCAGGAGCTGAAGTGAGGAAAATATTATCCAGTCCACACTCCACACCAGTAGGTGGCGGTAATGCACCTTTCAGTTGTTTGCCAGCCACCAAAAAATAAATCACAAAGAAGAAGAAGAATATTCTGGAAAAAAAAAAAAAGAAATGATGGCACAGGACAACGAGAAGACAGGAAATAAAAAAACAACAATAACCACAAAGACCACCGAAACGCAGACACTGATCGTGTTACTTTTAATGGATAAACCTTGTTCCTGATCAGCAGTCTGCAAGTTTTCAAAGGTAGGTTTGACTTTTTAAACTCCTTGTAATTTTGTGCTGAATTTAATTAAATTTTATCTGCAGCAATGATTTTAAAGTTTTTTTTCCAACCACAAGAAAGCCCAAAATCATAAAGCCCATCTTTAATGAAATCTAAAAGTAAACCAATCAATCATTTGGCCAGATAATTAGATTGTTGCTCTGTTCTTAGTATTGGCCATTTCCTGAGCGTATCGCTCAACCCGAATTAGTTGAATTTACTAGAAATTTGCGAGGAAACCCGTTGCCTTAAACCATTCTAGTTTTTACACAATGATGAAACCAATCAGGTTCAGTTGTGTTAACTTAAGAACTTCATTACCATTGTATTGAAGTTCTTAAGTTGTGTGAAAATGTAAGAAGATGAAGTAAAATGTAGGCTGAAAACGAATTACTCAAGTAAAGTACAGATACCTAAAAAATTCTACTTAAGTAGAGTAACAAAGTATTTGTACTTAGTTACTTTACAACTCTGCACTTGTGTATCCTTTTGCTTCTTACTGGATCAGCTGTCATGGCAGGGGTGGGGATATTTTTAGCACAAAATTGTCTGAGCCCAAAGAATTTTTAATGATATGGTATTGTGTACTAAATTTTAAATAGAATAATCTCCAATTTACAAGGAAATTTGGAAATGCCTGATTTTTATTTGTTTATTTATTTTATTATTTATTTTTACTTTCAGAGTCTAAATATATTTGATGAAATAGAACAGGAAAATTGTGGAAAACGTTCTGCTTTGAGCTGCAGAGTCTTTACTATTTGTTTCCAAATCAGCATCAGGTCCCTGTGCTAAATTATTCAGCAATTTAGTAGTCATACTGTGCAACTCAATTTCACTTTTGATATATAGGTGGTAGCTTAAATTGGTGTGAGCCCCATGCTGCTCCTACTATCACAGATCAATGAAGAAAGTTTCACACCAAACAATTTTCCCCAAAATAAAAATGTAGCTCTCCTATTCAGCAGATTTATGTGTGGACCTTTAAAGTGCTCGTACATCTAAGCATACGATTCATTAGATGTTTCTAAATGTTGTTTAAAAGTCCAGCTGTTAAATTTTCTATTTATACTTTTCTTTTGGAAAACTCAGCAATTGGCACATACAACTTGCAGCCAACGCTGAATAATTTTCTGCTTTTACCCAGCGTAACTTGCTGAAAACAAGAGTAGCATTAGGGACAAATGGCATTAAGTGGATCCAACAGGAGCCAGGAAGCAGACATCAGCTCAGTTCAGTAGCAGAGACTCTGAGCCACCAACTACTGAAGCTACAGAAAGGAAATGGAATATCCCTG